TTTATTGTCATGTGACAGTTTTTCTAAAACAATACAGACTAATGATTTCAGGACAGTGGTGGAGTGCCAGAGCCAGGTCCCAGCTGCAACCTCTGCAACCCTGGTAGTTCTCATGAAAATGCCAAGTATCTGCACTGGTACTCGAAAAGTATTAGTGCATCCCTGTATAATATGTGTCATCATATTATCTAACCAGAAGCTCAAAGCTGCTACCCGATTGTCTATTTATCAGAACTTTACAGCTATAGCATAATAAACAGGAAAAGCAACATGATAACAAATCACAGGTTATATACAGTATATAGAGAGGTAAGAATTCTTCAGTGCTCCTGTACAAGAGAGAGGTGGATTAAAAACTATTTAAATATAACTGCAAATGTTTTATGATATACTATAAAGAGCCTGCGCATGAAGAGCGTCTAGTACCAGTCAGTACAAGGCAAAACTCACATTGGCATTCCTGCGTTTAGCAGGAGATGTTGTTATCTAGGAAGAACAACAACTGTTATGCTTCCCAGATCACTTTTTGCTGTGTTTAGACATTTACAGCTTCTAACTGGATTCTGGATGCACAGAATTCTTTTTTTTCTCTAATCGCAGCTAAACTAAAGCCAGGTAAATGCAGGTAAACGTCCAGTCTGAACGACATGTATTTATACGCGTTTAGAAATGTGCTCTAAACACACATGTAAACGCAGTGTAAATGAGGCCTAGGGCCCCTTCCATTCCGATTAGCAGGGGATCAATGCACAGATACGCTGCTGATTGGAGCAGAACGTGGCACCCGTGTCCATACAGTTTTTTTCCTCCATCTTGCGATAGAGGAAAAAAATTGAACCAACCAGACACATGTAAGGTCTATGGTAGGGGTGGGCAAAGTCCGGCCCTCCAGCTGTTGTGGAACTACAAGTCCCATTAGGCATTGCAAGATTCTCACAGACATGACTCCCAGAGACAGATGCATGATGGAATTTGTAGTTTCACCCCAGGTTGAGGGCCAGAGTTTGCCCACCCCTCAGATGTTAGTGGACACGTGTCCGTTTACATCCAATTGCCTCCGATCCATCCTGTTCAGGTCCGAAACAACAGAACTCTGTTAAATGTTTTTTATTGCAGACCTAGCCAGACTTGGAGGTGCTCGGATGGAATCAGAGGTGAACGAACGCAGGTCCGTTTACATCTGACTCCCCACGCAGTAACATTGAACTTCTAATCAGTTATGTCTGAAAAACCAACAGACGGACCTGATCAGAGCGCCGTGTGAAAGGGCCCTAACTGAATCCAGCTCTATGCTCCAGCTTCAGACCCCATTCACACTGAGCGACATGCAAATCGCGCGACTTTGAGCGACGTGTCGCGCGACATCTTCCTATTGGGCTGTATGCAATCAGGAGCAATATCGCTCAAAATCACTCTAAAAAAGGGTCATGTAGAAGCGACAAGCTACCAGCGACGAGCTACAAGCGATATTGAGCGACGAGATGTGAACAGCTACATTGAATTGTATTGGTGAAGCTACATAGAGCGATATAGTGCGGAAATATGAGCGATATCGCTACAAAAATCGCGCGATAAATCGCTCAATGTGAACGGGGCCTTATGTGTCAACTCTGATTGTAGGCCTCAATTCAACAGTGACACGATTTTCATTACAGAACTTTCTTGGGTCCATTTGTTTAAAAAGTTCCCAGCCATCCTAACAAACAGCTTTTAGTCTGTCAAACATTCAAAGGACCGGCCTGGTAAACGACCAAATTCTGCAATGGAAATCTATTTATAGCTCAATTCTGTGGAGTAGTGCAAACAAATGACTGATCAGGTGATCTGGTTAGGGAAAACGGGTACTTCTGTGCTAAGATCTTAAGAGTTTATAAATGGTTCTTTCTTCAGGAGGGGCACGCATCCAAACAAATGCCCCTACCAGGCACTGCAGACTAACGCAAACAATGTATATATAGATCCATGAGGCTAGCCTCTATATAATATATATATACATACATACATATATACACATATACCCACACACACACTGGGTCTCTCAGTACACATGCACCCAGTTTCAGCTTGTCATGAATAGTATATACACTGTTATTAGTATAAGGAGATGATAGATGCCAGAACTGCTCACGTTTCCCTGGTTACTAATTAGCAGTTAGTGTGGTTAGGCCTCTTAAACAGACTCACAAACATTGCTGTCTTCTTGTCACCATGCTCTGGGACAGAAGCCATGTTAAAGTTGAACCATATCTCTCTATTAATACTGGTCAATCCGGGAAATATATACCCCCATTATCTGTGTATAAACACAGTGAATAATGTCATCGTCCAGTCGCGAGAAAAACTTTGTGAACTGGATTTCTGCATGAATGTGATATGACCTTCAGTCACGATAACAAAGACTTATTCACCAGACATACACACATTTTGGGGCTCGTGTAATTAGGCATTTGTGGTTTGGAATAAAATACAGAACTGTAGCCTGCTTTAAATCTTACAGGGTGGCAAAAACTGCCATTTCAGTAGTGTTTGCTATGCCTCCTACTGCCCTTTTCTAGAGGTTTCCTGTCCTATTCAGACTCGTCCTTGTGGTTTTTCGCCTTGAATTGCTGTTAACAGGAATGCACTGTAAATACATGACATGGGCAGAGCATGCAAGAACAATTGATGTAGCTCTACCACAACGACCTTCTATAAATCAGAACAGCATGTCTTTTTAGGTAATTATTGTTAACCACATGTAACAATCTCAAAAGCATGACAAACAAATGTACTTTCAGCACAACAGGAATCAGCAGGAGAGGGGAGTGCAGAAAACACAGATGCACAGAATGAATGAATGAATGAAGCAGGGAGGTCCTAGCACTGCACCTCCTCAGGTATAGCTTTCTCTCTAGCAAGGAGAACAGTGAGAACCACGGCACTGACATCCCTAAATATCACTCCTATTCTCATGAGATTTGGAGTCCCATATACACTGTGGGTAATCAGGCAAAAGGCAGTCGGTACAGGAGATCCTAGGCGTAGGATTCTGGAGGAATCCAAGATGAAAAGGTAAATCTTTTAGGGTACTGTGTATCACAATGAATGTCTCTAGATGTTCCCAAGGAGATAACAAATATTCACTTTAAAATATGAAAATCCCTCTGTTAGTGCTTCTGTTATGCATTAGGCCCCATTCACTGCCCCAGGGCAGTAAAGCGCTCCCTCCACCTTGTTTAGTAGCTGCCATGAATCAAGTGGGGGTTTTATGTACTTTTTCTGTTTTTGAAAAGCACTGGTTTCCTCTGTGGTAGTGTCCCTTGAACACCACTCTCGTTCAGGGCTATTCTTATAGTAGACTCATGCACTTGGATGCTATGATGTATAAGAGATATCTGCAGATCCATGTCTGTCACCCCACATTTCTTTGACAAATGTCCAATGTACCCTGTAATGATTTTTGGGTGATCATGCTTATAACTAGGGAGAGTAGCACCAGTGCTAAATTTTTTTCCATAGTAAACTTTCATGCTTGACTCTGAACGGAGTCTTAAGAACTCTTGTTCTGAGGTCCTCAGATTTTAGGAGCCAGTCATGCTTAACCGGTTGTCCTCCACTGGAAGGAAATCTGGCTAAATCACTAGGATCACGGCTTGTCTACCAGAAGCCTGGTACACCACGCACAGAGCAACGTTACCACTGCAAACACCAATGGAAGATCCTTGGATGGTCCACTATATAGCATGTTTGATCTGAAAAGATCAGACGCCCAAACAAGCATCTCCATACATGAGAGAAACATTCTTGCAGTTAAATGTCTGCAGTAGCAAAGTGTACCCTGCACTATATGAACGAAGTGTCCCCATATGAAAGAAATCGATAATAGAAATCACCAGCACTCGATTGTATGCATGAAGTATGAACACTTTTATCCACTTGTCACATGTGTCATCAAGCCAACGTTTCGGGGCCATGTAGGGTCCCTTACCTAGGTCACTATGTCGCCCTGAGGAAGGGACCCTGCATGGCCCCGAAATGTTGGCTTGATGACACACGTGACAAGTGGATAAAAGTGTTCATACTTCATGCATACAATTGAGTGCTCGTTTATCGGTTGCACTGTAACACGGTGCCATCCGTGTTATCACTTCAAGCACCAAGACGTGAAGCTGAAGTCTGTACGCTGCATGGAGTGCAGGTGACTCGTTGCAATACCATGTGAAAGAAACGTCACACATCTGCATAGTAATGCTTCTCCTCTATGGCATAGGAGGCCTGCAGTGTGGAAGCAGCAGAACTATTCATACTTGGAATGTTGTCTGAACTGGATGACATTGTTTATATATTAGAAAGTTGTTACAATGAGTGCAGGATCTCTGTTTACCAACACGTCACAGTGGGCATAGAAGAATGTGGTACAGCTGTGGGCAACTCCGGCCTTCCAGCTGTTGTGGAACTACAAGTCCCATGAGGCATTGCAAGACTAAACAGTTACAGGCATGACTGCCAGAGACAGAGGCATGTTGGGATTTGTAGTTTAAGAGTTGCCTACCCCTGCTGTAGAAGAATGCTTCTGCTGTGGATAGATCTGTCCTATAATATACACATGTATATGAATTTGTATATATCTATGCATCCATACATGTATACGTGGATAGAGAGAGGGATAGATAGATACAGAGATATACACATATATATATATATATATATATACACACACACACACACACACACATATATATGTATTTCTAGATAGATCTAGAGACAGAGGTATAGATCTAGAGGGCTATGTAAGAGAAGGGCAGTGGGCCAGCAGTCTTGCCATGCACAGTGTGCACCTTTCCCTGCAATGCTGCTCTCCCACCTACTGCAGCCCTCCACCAGTCATCCCGCATGGCAGTGCCCAACTGCTGCAATGTCCGACGAGGAAAGGGTTACTACCATCAGCCCATCCTCCCACCCTGTGTTGATATTACACACTGTCCTCCAGCGATCGCTCCTTCCCCTCCATTCCAGCTCACCCGGAATTTCTGCCAGAAGCCCTCTGGATGGAACTCGTGCAGGAAGGGGTTAAACGGGGTGCCGGAGACATCCTGGTCGTCGTCTTCGCTGGGCTCCCCACTCATGACTGTCAGGCTGTGCAGAGGACTGCTCTGGTGCTGGGCCCGTCCAGGGATGGCTGTGACTCTGAGGAGGGGGGAGGAGCTACCCGCCTCTCTTCTCTAGGGTTAACCCTGCCTGTGCCGGCTGTCACACTGGGAGGACTCATCCGACCGGACCGACCTGTTTATGGTAGTGAAAACACCCCTTTAGTCATGAATTACTGCTTGGGCAGAGATGTACTAGTAAACCAGTTATGAAATCCTGTGCATTCTTGTGTCTTCATTGAGCTAGTTACACCGTGAAGGTGGCCATACAAGGATCGATTTGTGAGCGATCTGGGTACCAGCAAGTTATTTAACATCAATTCAAATATGAACGATGCAAAACATACAGTATCGATTGAAAATACGATCTATCAGAGATTATCTATTTTAAAAAAACCATTTAATCTATCTGTATAAAGCTGGCCATACAACTATAGATTATCTGCAGATTTCCTATGGTCAGATGGAAAAAGTGCAACTGATTCCTCCATCTCCGCTAAACTGTGTGGATGGAGGAATCTCCCACGGGGCCAAGCTTCAGCATCTTGCTAGGCGGCCCCGCTGGCTCTCAAAATACCTAAACAATCTGATTGGATGCAGTCATTGTTCAGGCATTTTAAGAGCCAGCGGGGCCGACTAGCAAGATACTGAAGCTTGGCCCAGTGGGAGATTCCTCCATCCACACAGTTTAGCGGAGATGGAGGAATCTGTTGCACTTTTTCCATCTGACCATAGAACGTCTGCAGAAAATCTATAGTTGTATGGCCAGCTTTACAGATTGTGTGGCCTAACAAAAGCATATGACTCAGTTGACGTTTGTGGAAGTAGCTGAACAGTCACAGCAGCCAATCAACTGCAGTCCTTAACCAGTTGACATCCGCGGTGTTAAACCCCCTTCCCATCCAGGCCATTTTTCAGTATTCAGCGCTGCGGTACTTTAACTGACATTTATTCCGTCATGCAGCGCTGTACTGAAATGAATTTTATACCCTTTTTTGGGGACAGATAGAGCTTTCTTTTGGTGGTATTTATTCACCACTGGGGGTTTTATTTTTTTACTATATTAAGGAAAAATTACCGAAAT